CATTCAACTCGTTCGGTTTTGGTCAAATGCTCACTGAAAGGCGATTTTTGCATGCAGCTATTTTAGTCTTTATAATGTGAAGTTGCTTCAAAGTTTTTATTTTGCAAAAGTTGATTATCTTTATAACAGGACTTTCTTTCGGGAACCGAACCAGAACGGAATGTTCTTAAGAAGTTCTATAAGGAAATATATATGTTTTAGAGCCACGAGGGTAAAAAATTAAAGCAAAAAGTTGAAACTGATGAAGTTTATTTTTACCCTTTTGTACTCTCGAGCCTTCGGCATTCTTAATGTACCGATAATGTCATTTTAGGATTTAGTAAAAGAGACAAATTGACATATTTTCTTAGAAACTCTGAACGTTTAAAAAAGTTACAATAGTATGGTCAACGATTTCAAAGTTTCGGCTATATTTTCGTCTTCAATGAACAAAGGGATATTCAAGATAAGTTCGACGATAAAATCCTGAACTGGTAAAGAATCATTTTAGTTAAATTGCACTCTCATTTGATAACTTTTAACACTAAGTAAAAAATTACACAAGCAATGGTAAAAATGCATCCACACCACAATTAAGGCATCAAACTGTAAGATATTAATTTTTTTGCAACTTGAATAAAAAATACGGGAAATTTATTCCGGTTTTCCTCCTGACTTAATTTACCGGACTATGCTACACATTATATTTCTAAGAAGAGATAAAGTAGCTTTGGCGTTATGAACTACAGACTTACAGAGGTCGTTTGAACTTTTGCTCTAATTAGAGCTAATTCTCCAAAGATTCTTATTGAAATCTGGAAATTTCAACAAGCCAACGCTAAAGTCTGGTTATTATCCACAAAAATGCGACGAGTAAATATGCGAAAATACTTGAGTGGAAAAATTGACTTAATCCTGATACGGCAGGAAATGCTCACAAATAAAGGCCAGATATGTAATAGGGAAAGGAACTCTTACGATAACAGCAATTACCTGTCGAAATATCCAAAATCGATTCGTTAATTAACGCAAATTACGCTGGCACAAATCCTAATTACGCACGGGCCATCCAAGCGGTATTACTCCACTTAATTACGGCAAAATTGAAGTTGGGGGCGGAGCTTAAGCGGAAATAAGCTAATTGATGTAAGCTGCCGGTGGCACAGCCAATTTCCATTTTAATGCTCCGGTCCAACTTGTGACGATAACGGTCCAGGCAGGACCTGAGGGCAGAGAGTTGCCAGCCACCAAACGACACGATTCTGCAATTAGCGCTGTTGTCGAATTTTCTTTGTTCCACATATGGATCTACGTTTTTCCGTGCGCCAAAAGCTGTTTTGTTCAATGTTTTCAGCTACATTTTTAAACTGCATTTGTGATAAGACCGATGTTTATAGTCCCGATAGGATATTAACATTATTTTGTTGCACTGCATATATAAAGGGCAGCTAACAACGTTATCCTCTAACCCTCTATTCCCAGTGTTTGCGCACTGGAAAGGGCCTGATTTATCCGTTTAGTATTCTTAAAACGGGCCGCAAGTTGGCCGGAGAAAGAATCAGCCATCTTTGATATCAGAGCCACTGAATAGCGTAGGGTAGTGCCCTAATCTTTGCTTAATTCACCCTGTTAGCAGTAAGCCTACACCCCTGTAAGGTATGCTCCCCTTAGTTTGTCGGATGAGAACTTAGGATGGTTTTGCTCGATCAGTAGCGTTGTATTTTTGCTTGTTGCGGCGATTGTTACATAAATTGGGCCTAAGAAAATTGTCAATAAAATCGGAGATATTTGGCAAAAGTTGAATAATAAATTAGGCAATAATGATACTTTAATTCCTCTGAAAACTGATTTTTTGCAGAACGATTTACTCGCGACTCAAGTTTGGGAGTTTTTCAAAATTCGGTGTCCTCGTATATCAGCGACAACTTTCTACTAGAAGTGTTCTCTCTAGAGAAGTTTCTCTACATTAAAGTTTCAGTTTCTTCTTTGGCTCACCGAGGAATGTTTTGAGGTTTTTCAAAAATCAGAGTCTGACTGTGTCTGTTTAAATTCGCTAGTCGAGATTCTCAAATTCATTGTTGTCTAATTGTGAAAGTTGCAAGTTGCCTCGTGGTCTGATTAGGTAGTTTTATTTTTTTTGGAAAATTGCATATGCGCAAACGGTCATCAATTTTGGAAGTTTCTCTAAAGTCAGAATCTTAGTGTATGTCTGCTGGTAATTTTCTCTGAAAACTCTTAATGCATTGTTTCTTCGCTATAGAAGTTTTACGTTGCGTTCTGGTCGGGCTGAGCGATACCATTGTTTTTTAAGTTTTCGAAGCGAAAAATGGGTCAAGTTTAGGATTTTCTCAAAAATCTTCTAAACGCATTGGCTTGTCGTTTTCACTCTGATGCACTCTCTTTCTTTAATGGAGGTTCATCGTCGTTCATGGTCGTCAATTTTGAAAATTTCTTAAAATATTGAGTTCTTCTTCTCAAAAGTTAGTGTGTCTGCTTGTATATGCTTCTAAAAATTCTCTAATGCTTCATGTTTTCTCTGTTGAAGTTTTTCGTTCACTCTTGGTCTGTTTGAGGAATTATAATTTTTTTGAACGGTTTTCATCGGAAAATCTGTTATCAACTTTCACTTAAAGCACTCTAATTCATGCTCTTTCCTTGAAAGAAGCTTGAAGTTACCTCATTGTCTGGTCGAGTAGATTTTGAAAGTTTTGCAAAAATTAGAATTAATGTATTTTTTGTTCGTATTTACTTCTAAGAATCCTTTAATGCATCGTTTCGTCTTTGTAGAAGTCTTTCGCTTTTCTGGTGGGGTTGAGGGTTAAAAATGTTAAGAGCGGTGGGGCGGTTTAAGTGGAAAATTGGTCTGTGTCGAAAGAAAAAGAAAGCAAGAAGTTTGGGATTTTCTCAAAAATCAGTATCGTACCGAACTTGCTTGAGTTTTTCACCCCAAGCTCTCTGGTGCTTGCTCTTTCGATAGCAGAAATTTTAAATTTCTTTGTTATCTGATTGAAGAGCTTAATTTTTTTAGATAGCCATCGTCATATTTGTCAAATTTGTCAAAAGTGCCTCAAAAATCCCTGTGTTTATTTCCCTAAAATGTATCTAATATATTTTCTGGGCCTGTTTTTGGCTGTTTTAGTCTGATTGATAACAAAATTAGAGCGATTTAAAAGTGGAAAACATGTTATCAAGTCTGGGAATTCCTCAAAAATTAGTGTCTCTGTGCATCGGATAGAATTCTCTACTACCAGTGCTCTAATGCATTGTTAACACAGACAATGCATAATTTTTAACATCTTTGAAAACCTTGCACAACTATTACTAAAATTTTCGTAAAATATCCTTTGTAAAGGATTTAATAGGTACGCTACTGCACCTCGAGGCATCTTTCATTAAGTCTTGCCACTCACTCACATAAACTAAACTACTTTATTAAGATCCTTAACAAGTCGACCTGCCCGCCATCGAATTACTTCCTTCTTGCAAAGTAAGGTGGTCTAAAAGGCTTTCAAAAAGGGATCTGGGGGACTCGGGATAATAACACCGATGCTGGGCCATTTAGACCCGCAAATTTACTATTGTAATTAGGGAGATGTTCTTGATGAAGTTGCGTACTCTTTCATCCAAAACGAATGAAGATTTCACACACTTTTAGTCGTGTCCTTTTCTAAAACTATTTATTTTTAGTTGCTTCGATGCTGGAAACTTTGAATAAGTCTACTTTCGAAATAGAATTTCTTGTTTTATTAATACAAATAAACAATCTTTTAATTTTGCTTTCCTTTAACACAAACAGTTCAAATAAACTCTGCTTTAACAATTTTATAATGGCTCATTTGTGTCAGAACGTTAAAAACAAAACGCTGTTTGCAATCGCGGACTGAACATGACAAACGAATAAATAATAATTAGCCCGACATCACTAATTAGAAGCTTTACACCCTTGCAATCTTCCCTCGTTTTATGCCAATAAGATATAGTCCCTCTTTATACTTTAACTTCTCCTTGGGCGCAATTTGGGCAAACTTGGCGAATATGAAGCAAGAATCTTTCCAGGACAGGGAGGGATTCTTTGCCATGTTTAGTTATAAGAAATTGCTATTTAATTCAAATTTAACAAGTGTTTTTGAGCTAAAGCGATCTATGAAAGTGAGTTGTTTGACTGCGAGAATGTTTGCGAAAATCCTTTTCTATTAGCAGGAAAAAAACAAGAGGATCATTCAAAATGCATCATTTCCGCCGGGATAAATTTTCAAACGATAACCAATTGTCTATAAAGTTCAAGAATGGAAAGGTTCATTAGGCAACAAAGTCAAAAATTTTGGAGTAAACCCATCTGACTCCAACGCTGGATCCAGATAATCTTCCTGTGGAAACTCTTGTAATTATCATGACATAAACACTGCTTAAGAGTCGAGCTACATTAATTCATTAATTAAAATGTAGGGATGTTGAAATCTGACTACTCAAAATGGAATGATAAAGCGAACCTTACTTAAACGTTAACTCGCTTTTATTCCGTATAATGTTAATTTGCTGGGTCTTTAATTAAAGACTCTTAGAAATTATGAATGAATGATTAATAAAACAGGTCAAAATAGTTCGGTTTACTCAAAGAGTTTGTTGGAAGTTTGCTGAAAAACCAACACACTTAGGAGGAGTGACTCTTTCCACTTAAAACCGTCAAAGTTCCATTAGGTGCCTGATGAGACCATTAAAGCCAGAAACAAGTCCAACAATTTTATTAAAACTGCTCGGTTTCGCTCTTTGCTCTTGAACAACTCGAAAACTTAATAAAACAAGTAAGAAGTTTATTCGTTGAAAGCTTTACATCCTTTAGCTTCGTGCAGCTACTTTGTCTCCTACAACAAATGGCTTCTTCAGCTGATATATAAATTGCTCTGCCAAAAGTTGTGGCGGAAGAGAATTAGAAGTAGTTTCCAGGTATTTTCCTGAAAGGTGCTTAAAGTAGCACTGTAAATAGCGTTGCAAAAAAGACACTCAAGGACCAAGACAACAGGTTGGTTTTGCGAAAGAAATGCATTTATTTATTAATTATCTTCGTCATCTTCAAGCGCCCATTTCAGGTCGTCATTATAATAAAGGAAAATGCTGGGAATGTAGAAGTTTTGCGGTAATCCCAGCTCTGTGAACTTGTCGCGTTCATCGGCAATGCCGTTTTCTTCCAGTGTCTTCGACATATCAATGTTCTTGTCTAGATATCTCCAAGTGTAGCTGTCGGCATCGCTGTTGAATATGCTGAATCTTTCCAATATTCTGTAAAACGTGTCTTCGCAGCACACATTGATGGTCACCTCTGAAAGAGTCAGCATGTTCCTGATTCGCAAAGGTCTGATTTTTTTACTCAGCAACCCCACCTGGAAATGTCCATATTTAAGGGTCCATCGGTTAAGACTTTTCGCGTGAAGATGGTCGTAATTTCATCGCGTGCTCTTGCCTGATACTGTTCATCTTGCCACCAAGGTGGTCGATCCAGAGGTTTCCAGCAAGCGGCTGGAACCTCCACTTGGACATCTGGAATAGCCCCATGGGGGCAATAAGGGACTCTAACGCCAGTTTCTGGATGAATGTGGTGCTGAATGTCTTGGGTTTTCTCGTCAAACCAATGGCTGATGTCCTTGCCAGCCATGGCGAGGAGCGGTTTTATGCATTTTTGCCCATTGTACTTTTCAATGAGCGGCGATACATCCAGAACTTTTCCCAAAAAAGACACCCAGCAGTCTTGAGGGGTGTTGTGTACCACTACTTCAAATGGTGCAAAAATTGGCCATTTTTCCTGATTGGTTTTCATTTTTCGAAATTTTTTCCCAGGTGAGTGAAAGGAAATGACGTTGACGTGTTTTTTGGGGTGAAATTCGTGATTGATGTGATGCGATGCGATGATGGAGGTGATTGCTATTTTACTCTGCTTCAAATGGAAATGTTATTCTTGCATTGTTTTAGTACGGAGAGCGAATTCAACAGTTATTAATCTCAATTGTCGAGGGCCCATTTTGCCAATTACCAGTTAAAATCCATCTGTTTCAGACGGAGAATGAGGGAATTTCCGAAACAAAGTCTGCTTCGGCATCAAGTCGTGTCGGCAACTGAACAATGGAAACTCGGTGAACTTGCTCTCTTGTTTTGCGTCTGCTGATGGCGCCAGCGGGTCGAAACCGTCCAATTAAGTATTGCGTTTTGTAGCCACTTTCTTCACTTATTCACCTAATATATATGTGCTTTTATGAAAATCTAACCAAACCGCGGTTCCTCTAGAGGTGTTGTTTGGGGGCATTGGAGAGTACCTACAAAAGAAACAGTGACATAAAATTATTTGCAGAAATACTGAAATAATTGCGGAAAACTAAATAGGAAATTCGACAACATTGTATTGTAAGCGATTCACATTTAAATTCCCATGCGGCTGAAATATTCAAATCAAACAAATTTCAATACGAATTACCTACTGACTGTGTTTATACTCCATATACT